ACAGAATATTATTCTGTCAATATAACGTTATTCTAACTTGTTATGTGTGAAAGTTGTGACTGGTTTACAGAATATTATTCTGTCAATATAACGTTATTCTAACTTGTTATGTGTGGGTGACTGGTTTACAGAATATTATTCTGTCAATATAACGTTATTCTAACTCGTTATGTGTGGGTGACTGGTTTACAGAATATTATTCTGTCAATATAACGTTATTCTAACTTGTTATGTGTGGGTGACTGGTTTACAGAATATTATTCTGTCAATATAACGTTATTCTAACTTGTTATGTGTGGGTGATAGACTCACTTGATAATTAATTTCAATATTGACAACAATATAGTAACACAGACATTTCATACCAACACACGACAGAGAACACAACAATTATACACACAAAATCAGAGAGAGACACAACATTATTATATTTAAAACAATCACAGGCAACACAACAATTATACCAAAAACATCACAGACAACACAACAATTATACCAAAAACATCACAGGCAACACAACAATTATACCAAAAACATCACAGGCAACACAACAATTATACCAAAAACATCACAGGCAACACCAACACAAATATACCAAAAACATCACAGGCAACACAAACACAAATATACCAAAAACATCACAGGCAACACAAACACAAATATATCAAAAACATCACAGACAACACCAACACAAATATACCAAAAACATCACAGGCAACACAACAATTATACCAAAAACATCACAGGCAACACCAACACAAATATACCAAAAACATCACAGGCAACACAACACAAATATACAAAAACATAATATACCAAAAACATCACAGGCAACACCAACACAAATATACCAAAAACATCACAGGCAACACAACAATTATACCAAAAACATCACAGGCAACACAAACACAAATATACCAAAAACATCACAGGCAACACAAACACAAATATACCAAAAACATCACAGGCAACACCAACACAAATATACCAAAAACATCACAGGCAACACAACAATTATACCAAAAACATCACAGGCAACACCAACACAAATATACCAAAAACATCACAGGCAACACAACAATTATACCAAAAACATCACAGGCAACACCAACACAAATATACCAAAAACATCACAGGCAACACAACAATTATACCAAAAACATCACAGGCAACACAAACACAAATATACCAAAAACATCACAGGCAACACAAACACAAATATACCAAAAACATCACAGGCAACACAAACACATCACAGGCAACACAAACACAAATATACCAAAAACATCACAGGCAACACAACAATTATACCAAAAACATCACAGGCAACACAAACACAAATATACCAAAAACATCACAGGCAACACAACAATTATACCAAAAACATCACAGGCAACACAACAATTAAACCAAAAACATCACAGGCAACACCAACACAAATATACCAAAAACATCACAGGCAACACAACAATTATACCAAAAACATCACAGGCAACACAAACACAAATATACCAAAAACATCACAGGCAACACAACAATTATACCAAAAACATCACAGGCAACACAACAATTATACCAAAAACATCACAGGCAACACAAACACAAATATACCAAAAACATCACAGGCAATACAACAATTATACCAAAAACATCACAGGCAACACAACAGTTATACCAAAAACATCACAGGCAACACAACAATTATACCAAAAACATCACAGGCAACACAAACACAAATATACCACAAGAGTTCTCGGAACTGTATGTGTCGCCTGCATAAAGTGTCACGGTCACCCAGAAATTGAACTGGATGTGCAACGATCAACCATAAAGTTGTAATACCAAATTTCATTTCTATAACTTGAAGCATAAAGGGAAAACTGTGCAAAGCAATATTCCTGAGAAATTTTCCAAGTTCAAAGGGACATATCACTGCCAAGAAGGGTCAAAGACAGCCAAGAATCAAAAGTAATCTGTACCCTTCCAACAAGAAGCCATATAGCAAATGTGATTTCTATAACTCAAAGCATAACCAAAGAGGGTCAAGAAAACAATATTCCTAGGGAATTTTCTAAGTTCAAAGGGGCATAACTCAGCCAAGAAGAGTCATAAACTGCCAGGAATCAAACTTTATCTGTACCCTTGCAACAAGAAGCAATATACCAAATTTCATTTCGATAACTCAAAGCATAAGCCAAAAAAGACCACAAAACAATATTCCCAGGAAATTTTCTAAGTTGAAAGGGGTATAACTCTGCCAAAAAGGGTCACAGACATCCAGGAATCGAACTTAATCTGTACACCTGCAACAAAAAGCCATATGCCAAATTTCATTTTGATGACTGAAAGCATTACCGAAAAAAATCCGGAAAACTTTCATACGGATGACGTCGTCGACGACGCCGATGACAACGACGCTTGACGACGGACAAAGTGATCCCTAAGTGTCCCCCAGGTCTGCAGGCGACACAAAAACCATCACAGGCAATACAAACACAATTATAACACAATCATCACAGACAATACAAACACAATTACACCAAACCATCACAGGCAACACAAAAACAAACACAAAACACAAACACACTACAGAGCTTGTGGGTTCATTTGCCAATCTCTAATCTCTCACTGTCCAAAGATGCTTTAGACTTGATGACTGATTTTTTCAAAATAATCTTGATTTCTGTTATCAGTAGAAATCAATGCCTGTCAATTTAAGATATATCTACTGTAATCTACCTAAAGACATTCAATGAAGAGAAAGTCATCACACTGACTTTAACCTGAGATTCATTTTATGTACTGACCCATCACATCTTCTATAACCAGAAAAGTATTGTATGTGCAGAAACTCATATCCTCAATAACACAAGGAGTATTTTATGTACAGAAACTCTCTCATATCTACCACACCCTGAAGGGTATTTTATGTACAGAAACTCTCTAATATCTACCACACCTTGAAGGGTATTTTATGTACAGAAACTCTCTAATATCTACCACACCTTGAAGGGTATTTTATGTACAGAAACTCTCTCATATCTACCACACCTTGAAGGGTATTTTATGTACAGAAACTCTCTAATATCTACCACACCTTGAAGGGTATTTTATGTACAGAAACTCTCTAATATCTACCACACCTTGAAGGGTATTTTATGTACAGAAACTCTCTAATATCTACCACACCTTGAAGGGTATTTTATGTACAGAAACTCTCTAATATCTACCACACATTGAAGGGTATTTTATGTACAGAAACTCTCTAATATCTACCACACCTTGAAGGGTATTTTATGTACAGAAACTCTCTAATATCTACCACACTTTGAAGGGTATTTTATGTACAGAAAATCTCTAATATCTACCACACCTTGAAGGGTATTTTATGTACAGAAACTCTCTAATATCTACCCTACCTTGAAGGGTATTTTATGTACAGAAACTCTCTAATATCTACCACACCTTGAAGGGTATTTTATGTACAGAAACTCTCTAATATCTACCACACCTTGAAGGGTATTTTATGTACAGAAACTCTCTAATATCTACCACACCTTGAAGGGTATTTTATGTACAGAAATTCCCTCATATCTACCACACCTTGAAGGGTATTTTATGTACAGAAACTCTCTAATATCTACCACACCTTGAAGGGTATTTTATGAAAACTCTCTAATATCTACCACACTGAAGGGTATTTTATGTACAGAAACTCTCTAATATCTACCACACCTTGAAGGATATTGAAACTCTCTCAAGTATCCTACCTTGAAGGGTATTTTATGTGCAGAAACTCTCTCAAAACCACACCTTGACAGGCAATACAAACACAATTATAACACAATCATCACAGACAATACAAACACAATTACACCACCATGAAGGGTACACAATGTACAAACACAAAACACTAACACACTACAGGGTATTTTATGTGGGAAACTCTCTATATCTGCCACACTCTGAAGGGTCTTTTATGTCCAGAAGATCTCTCATTAGACTTGAATATTTTATGTCACTAATCTTGATTTCTGTTATCAGAAAATCAATGCCTGTATTTTATGTACATAAACTCTCTAATCTACCACACACTTGAAGGGTATATTATGAAAACTCTCTCACACTGACTTTAACCTTGAAGGGTATTTTATGTACAGAAACTCTCTAATATCTATAACCAGAAAAGGTATTTTATGACAGAAACTCTCTATATCTAACACCTGGAAGGATATTTTATGTACAGAAACTCTCTAATATCTACCACACCTTGAAGGGTATTTTATGTACAGAAACTCTCTAATATCTACCACACCTTGAAGGGTATTTTATGTACAGAAACTCTCTAATATCTACCACACCTTGAAGGTATTTTATGTACAGAAACTCTCTCATATCTACCACACCTTGAAGGGTATTTTATGTACAGAAAATCTCTCATATCTACCACACCTTGAAGGGTATTTTATGTACAGAAAATCTCTCATATCTACCACACCTGGAAGGGTATTTTATGTACAGAAAATCTCTCATATCTACCCCACCTTGAAGGGTATTTTATGTACAGAAACTCTCTAATATCTACCACACCTTGAAGGGTATTTTATGTACAGAAACTCTCTAATATCTACCACACTTTGAAGGGTATTTTATGTACAGAAACTGTCTCATATCTACCACACCTTGAAGGGTATTTTATGTACAGAAAATCTCTCATATCTACCACACCTGGAAGGGTATTTTATGTACAGAAACTCTCTAATATCTACCACACCTTGAAGGGTATTTTATGACAGAAACTCTCTAATATCTACCACACCTTGAAGGGTATTTTATGTACAGAAACTCTCTCATATCTACCACACCTTGAAGGGTATTTTATGTACAGAAACTCTCTAATATCTACCACACCTTGAAGGGTATTTTATGTACAGAAATGTTGAAATCTACCGTATCCTGGGGGGTACAATATCTCCCATGGTACATAAATGCTGACTTACCCTTCTTTGACTTGGCACCAATCTTGAGTTTGGAGGGCCATGTTATCTGAGTATTAGTTTCATCCATAATCTGAAAAAGTAACATTTTTTAGGTGAGTTCAAAGCTGTCTGCTGGTGTGATGCACATGGTGAAGGAAGTAGAGAATTGATACTGTCTAACTGAAGGTCACCATGACATCCCTAATCTTTGTACTTTTATATACATCTATTCATAAATCCAAATCTACCAAAAGATCAAATATGAAAAGGAAAATTGGATAACATTTCAACAACTTTCTCCGATTTTATCTCACCGGATTGTAAGACATTGCATCTGACTATGTTTTTTTTACAAGACACTGTGATACATCGCTGCTTTACAATAAATTGTTTTGCATCTTTTTTTTACAACTTTTAATCGAATAAACAAACAAACATTAAGCTCCTGATTATGTTATCACCAGTTTCTTGTATACATTTGCAGAAAACAACAAAGCGTTTGATATTTTGCTATCAGTGAATGAAGGAATTCCAGTGCAAAATCTTCAGAAGTTTTATCAAAATTTCATTGTAAATGTCGTAAAACTATTTTCACCACAATATGTGGGTGTTATTAAATCCCCAAGTTTAATCATTCCAACTGCTGTATGAACAAGTTGATTGATGAAAGGGTGATATTAAAAGGGTGCTTTATGCACTCATGGAAATTAGAATGTACAATGTGTAGTTCAGGATTGTTTTTGCTACCATTTAATTTTTTATTTGGATCTTTATCCTGTTTGAAGATATCAAACCAATTAATTTGTAATTTTTAATGGGTTACATTTTCTCTATGTATTTCTGAGATATAAATTTCCCTACAGGTCATACCATCACACTCCAGCAGGTGATGAAACAAGTCACACATGGGTATAGAACAGGTCAATTCTACTTCAGAATGAAACAAGTCACACATGGGTATAGAACCGGTCAATTCTACTTCAGAATGAAACAAGTCACACATGTGTATAGAACAGGTCAATTCTACTTCAGAATGAAACAAGTCACACATGGGTATAGAACAGGTCAATTCTACTTCAGAATGAAACAAGTCACACATGGGTATAGAACCGGTCAATTCTACTTCAGAATGAAACAAGTCACACATGGGTATAGAACAGAATGAAACAAGTCACACATGGGTATAGAACAGGTCAATTCTACTTCAGAATGAAACAAGTCACACATGTGTATAGAACAGAATGAAACAAGTCACACGTGGGTATAGAACAGGTCAGTTCTACTTCAGAATGAGACAAGTCACACATGGGTATAGAACAGAATGAAACAAGTCACACATGGGTATAGAACAGGTCAATTCTACTTCAGAATGAAACAAGTCACACATGGGTATAGAACAGGTCAATTCTACTTCAGAATGAAACAAGTCACACATGGGTATAGAACAGGTCAATTCTACTTCAGAATGAAACAAGTCACACATGGGTATAGAACAGAATGAAACAAGTCACACATGGGTATAGAACAGGTCAGTTCTACTTCAGAATGAAACAAGTCACACATGGGTATAGAACAGGTCAATTCTACTTCAGAATGAAACAAGTCACACATGGGTATAGAACAGGTCAGTTTTACTTCAGAATGAAACAAGTCACACATGGGTATAGAACAGGTCAGTTTTACTTCAGAATGAAACAAGTCACACATGGGTATAGAACAGGTCAGTTTTACTTCAGAATGAGACAAGTCACACAAACTCATGCTCGTTATACATGGTAGTTCTTTCACTCCTGTTAGATATTTTCTAAAAACAGAAACACTTGCTAAGCATGTGTTTTTTTTTGCAACCTTTGAAAAATAACTATTTTCCAGTTAAATATATACCATAAAGCACTCGTTGTGTAACCTGTATTTCTGTAATAATAAGACACTGAAATAATCCAACTGATGACTTTCACCTTCTAAGCTCAAGTATACAATGTAAAATTGATTGATTACCTCCAAATAACCTGAAGTAGATGACACCACAAAAGAGGTTTCAGATACACAAAAATGTCCTTAATCAGGTTTCCCACCGAAATGTTCCCAAAAATAACATTCAACACCAAACAACAAAGTACCGTCTTAAGAAATTCCCCAATATACAGAAATGTCTCATCAAATACCGTTTACTTATATATAAAATACCGGCTAAGGTGGTTCTAAGTTTTACTCAAGTTTTCTTAGAGATTTTCGAAAAAAGAGATTTGAAGCTGCCGGGAACAGTGAAGATGTCTGTATAAAAGCTTGCTACTACACACACATTCCTAAGGTACATGGCATCAGATATATCATCTATCAATGATCATTTGTGAATGAATCAAGCACACTTAATGATGGAACATTTCTAACATATTTCAGTATAGAAGTCTGACATAACATAAGACTAGAGAAATTAAGTCTATGGGAGGCCAATTACTGGAGCACACACTTACAGCGTGGTAGTCTGCCACTTATATATCATATCAATTCACATCATTTACAAAATATTTGTGAGAAAATAACTCTCCACTGCACCCCACCTCCACTCATCGATCATCATGTGAAAATAACTGTAGATCTCTAACATCAAATATAACAGAAATATCTAATTCTCTGATTTCTTGTGAACAGTATTTACATGTTTGGCCTAAACAGTATAATAGCTATATAATGTATAAACCGTCTAGGTGCAAATCTATTAAGGAGGCTTGTTTGGGGTTCTGGCAGATAGAAAGCCTCCTTATTTTCACTGAGGCATTTCATCTTCAAAGAAAAATACAAGCTGAGATACAAGCTAGGTCATTCTGACAAAAACCTGTATAACGCCTTGGCTAAGATCTGACATTCTGACACAGCTAGTCTAGGAGGTCTGTCATTGGTCCATTTCAATCATTCATCTGATAACTAAGGTAAGTCAGGCCCTGTGTCAGTCATAGGCGTCTCAAACAATGAGCTTACAGGTAAGATAGGTCTGGGTCAGTCATAGGTGTCTCAAACAATGAGCTTACAGGTATTATAAGTCTGGGTCAGTCATAGGTGTCTCAAACAATAAGCTTACAGGTAAGGCATGTCTGGGGTCAGTCATAGGTGTCTCAAACATGAAGTTTACAGGTTAGATAAGTCTGGGGTCAGTCATAGGTGTCTCAAACAATGAGCTTACAGGTAAGGTATGTCTGGGTCAGTCGTAGGTGTCTCAAACATGGAGCTTACAGGTAAGGCAAGTCTGGGGTCAGTCATAGGTGTCTCAAACATGAAGCTTACAGGTTAGATAAGTCTGGGGTCAGTCATAGGTGTCTCAAACAAGGAGCTTACAGGTAAGTATGTCTGGGTCAGTCGTAGGTGTCTCAAACATGGAGCTTACAGGTAAGGCAAGTCTGGGGTCAGCCGTAGATCTGTCTCACACAAGGAGCTTACAGGTAAAATAGGCCTGGAGTCAATGGTAGGTAGGCCTCAAACATGGAGCTTATAGTTAAGATAAGTCTGGGGTCAGTCTTAGGTCTATTCCAAACACAGACCTTACAGGTAAGATAAGTCTGAGATCAGTCTTGTAAGTCTGTCTCACACACAGACCTTACAGGTAAGATAATTCTGGGGTCAACCTTGTAAGTCTGTCTCACACACAGACCTTACAGGTAAGATAATTCTGGGGTCAACCTTGTAAGTCTGCCTCACACACAGACCTTACAGGTAAGATAATTCTGGGGTCAACCTTGTAAGTCTGCCTCACACATAGACCTTACAGGTAAGATAATTCTAGGGTCAATCTTGTAAGTCTGCCTAGCCCCAGGGGGCTGAGACCTGCCGTTTATTCGAAACTAATTTCCCTTCACCCAAGCATGCTTCAGACAAATTCTGGACAATATTCTGCAATTCCTTAAGAACAAGATAGATTTTAAAGAAAATCATAGAATTTCCCTACTAGGCCCTGCCAATCTGGTCCCATCCTTTATTATACAAAACTGATTTTCCTTCACCCAAGCATGCTTCAAACCAAATTTGGACAATATCCTGCAATTCTCGAAGAACAATATAGATTTTAAAGAACTGATAGATTTTCCTTATTGAGCCCTGTCCCTTTAGCCCAAGGAGGGCTAAGATCTACCATTTATACAAAACTGACTTCCCTCCACCCAAGTATGCTTCAGACCAAATTTGAACAATATCCTGCTATTCACTTCGGGCCAGATAGTTAAAAACTCTGGTTACCAACTGATACAAGGTCTCACAAATGCTTCATTTTTACAAGTGCTTATAATGTCATGTTAAGCTATAATTTTTATTCATTAAGAATCCTTGTAAAAGTAATAAAAAAACCCACTGAAATGTGATTTATTGTGACATACAGGTATGTGTTTTTGTCCCACGCTACAGTACATTATTTTTGGATATTGTGGTATACTGGTATATCATTACACCCCTAATATGTGGTAGAAAACACTATGTAATACTATGGCACATTTGAACCCTCCTATCTACTTAAACACACAATTATATATGTAACACTGCACACTCACTTCCCTATACTAAGGAAAAAGATTTCACCAATAAATAAATACACATTTACATACTCTGGCCTTCCAGAAGAAATCGGTGCTTGTAAAGTATGCTGGTATGTAATGACAGCTTAACAAAGTCTTGATCAGAACACTTATACCACAATAGACCAACTACCAAAGGTGAATTGTATAAAATAGACCAAAACAAACTTACAGACAAAATATTTACCTCTGACTACCTGGATATTTAAATCTTACCACACCATATATATATATATATACACACAATCATATCTACCACTTATCTTGGAGAAAGTATATTTCACCCCACAAAATTGGTTGTGTATCTGGAACTTCTGCCAAAGTCAACTTTATCACAAATGTACACAAAGACTTGGGTTATTTTCAGTGTAATGCATACAGGTGTAACAAGACAAACATTTGGGTGACCTGAGTGGGGGACAACAAGGACAGATGACCCACAGTCACCTTTCCTTGTGCTGGCCACATAAAATGTGTCTACACTAATATTTTAAATGGAAAAGCTCCAATTTGGGAAACAATTTCCTGTACTTAAGTTTTCTCCATCATGTAGAGATGAAATTTACACCACAATTGTGGCTTAAGATTGATATATAGGTCTGCTGACCAAATTAATCAAACATGTTGATAATCAGTGAGCAAACTGACAGACATCATTACCTTTCATTTTACAATACCAATGAAAATTTCCTTTGTCTTACTTTCCTAGTGTTAGATAGATTTTCAAAAATATTTAGTTCTTTCTTCTTTCACTTCCAGATAAAAGAAAAGATTAAAAATGATATATATGCTACTTTTAAATTTGACAAAGTCTATCCTTGTCAGTGACATAAACTCTCAACCTTCACAATAATGAGACCATACATCAAAAATGTTACCTGAGTGGGTTTATTATCAAGTTTTGTGCTTTTTATCATTTTTATCCTATCTATTCTTTTGTGAGGAATTATTTTCACTTGATCAATTACATATTCCTTTACCAATACAGTATGTCTAACACATCTGTTATTATGTTACACAGGTTCTAGCATATATACCATACTCTGAATAACAATAGTAAATTGGATTAAAAGGGCTTGTGACTGTTATTTCTGCTTTAGTTTGATAACAATATGATTTCAGAAAAGAAACACATAAAACAAAAGAAACATATCGACAAACGTTGTCATCAATATCACAACAATACAACCATATTTCCCTGGTTCTATTCTTAAATACAAAACAGTTACCTGGTTTATGTTAATTTCTGAAGAATTGATACATATAATATGCATGTTTCAGGTATTAACCCAAGTAAGACATTCCCTTCAATAATTACCTTAATACAATCTACTGGCAGTATAAATTAGACATTTTCAATATATTAGAGACTTACCATATTCTACCTAATAAACACATTTACTCCTCTATGTACACCACTCTTTCCTTCACTTAAAGTCTGTAATAAGGTTGTGTACTTCACTGATCTTCCAATACATTATTCATCCCTTAAAACTCATCTCCATCATACTTACCACACTTACAACTCAAATATACCTAGCACACTTACAACTCAAATATACCCAGCACACTTACAACTCAAATATACCAACCACACTTACAACTCAAATATACCTACCACACTTACAACTCAAATATACCTACCACACTTATAACTCAAATATACCTACCACACTTACAACTCAAATATACCTACCACACTTACAACTCAAATATACCTACCACACTTACAACTCAAATATACCTACCACACTTACAACTCAAATATACCTACCACACTTACAACTCAAATATACCTACCACACTTACAACTCAAATATACCTAGCACACTTACAACTCAAACATACCCAGCACACTTACAACTCAAATATACCTACCACACTTACAACTCAAATATACCTACCACACTTACAACTCAAATATACCTAGCACACTTACAACTCAAACATACCTAGCACACTTACAACTCAAATATACCTACCACACTTACAACTCAAATATACCTACCACACTTACAACTCAAATATACCTACCACACTTACAACTCAAATATACCTACCACACTTACAACTCAAATATACCTACCACACTTACAACTCAAATATACCTACCACACTTACAACTCAAATATACCTACCACACTTACAACTCAAATATACCTACCACACTTACAACTCAAATATACCTACTTACAACACCACTTACAAATATACCTCAAATATACCTACCACACTTACAACTCAAATATACCTACCACAACTCAAATATACCTAACACTTACAAATATACCTACCACACTTACAACTCAACAACTCAAATATACCTACCACACTTACAACTCAAATATACCTACCACACTTACAACTCAAATATACCAACCACACTTACAACTCAAATATACCTAGCACACTTACAACTCAAATATACCTAGCACACTTACAACTCAAATATACCTACCACACTTACAACTCAAATATACCTACCACACTTACAACTCAAATATACCAAGCATACTTACAACTCAAATATACCTACCACACTTACAACTCAAATATACCTACCACACTTACTTACAACTCAAATATACCCAGCACACTTACAACTCAAATATACCTACCACACTTACAACTCAAATATACCTTCAAATATACCAACACTTACAACTCAAATATACAAATATACCTACCTAACTCAAATATACCTACCACACTTACAACTCAAATATACCTACCACACTTACAACTCAAATATACCCAGCTCACTTACAACTCAAATATACCTACCACACTTACAACTCAAATATACCTACCACACTTACAACTCAAATATACCTACCACACTTACAACTCAAATATACCTAGCACACTTACAACTCAAATATACCTACCACACTTACAACTCAAATATACCAACCACACTTATAACTCAAATATACCTACCACACTTACAACTCAAATATACCTACCACACTTACAACTCAAATATACCAACCACACTTACAACTCAAATATACCAACCACACTTACAACTCAAATATACCAACCACACTTACAACTCAAATATACCCAGCTCACTTACAACTCAAATATACCAAGCACACTTACAACTCAAATATACCCAGCACACTTACAACTCAAATATACCTACCACACTTACAACTCAAATATACCTACCACACTTACAACTCAAATATACCTACCACACTTACAACTCAAATATACCTACCACACTTACAACTCAAATATACCAAGCACACTTACAACTCAAATATACCAAGCATACTTACAACTCAAATATACCTACCACACTTACAACTCAAATATACCTACCACACTTACAACTCAAATATACCTACCACACTTACAACTCAAATATACCTACCACACTTACAACTCAAATATACCTACCACACTTACAACTCAAATATACCTAGCACACTTACAACTCAAATATACCTACCACACTTACAACTCAAATATACCTACCACTCAAATATACCCACTTACAACTCAAATATACCTCACTTACAACTCAAATACCCTACCACACACTTCCACACTTACAACTCAAATATACCTACCACACTTACAACTCAAATATACCTACCACACTTACAACTCAAATATACCTACCACACTTACAACTCAAATATACCCAGCTCACTTACAACTCAAATATACCAAGCATACTTACAACTCAAATATACCTACCACACTTACAACTCAAATATACCCAGCTCACTTACAACTCAAATATACCCAGCTCACTTACAACTCAAATATACCTACCACACTTACAACTCAAATATACCTACCACACTTACAACTCAAATACTTACAACTCAAATATACCAAGCACACTTACAACTCAAATATACCAAGCATACTTACAACTCAAATATACCAAGCATACTTACAACTCAAATATACCAAGCATACTTACAACTCAAATATACCTAGCACACTTACAACTCAAATATACCTAGCACACTTACAACTCAAATATACCCAGCACACTTACAACTCAAATATACCCAGCTCACTTACAAATGAAATGTACCTAGCACACTTACAGCTCAAATTCACTAACAATTTTATATCCAATTAAAGTTTGTTATCTGTTACCAAAGATTCTAGTCTCAACATATTTTTTAATGGAACTTTCAAATACATTTAACAACACCTTTTTTCTATTTGTCATAAGGGTGAACGAAACTTTCATTGTCAAAATCTCTCCAAGATGGCCTTTTGCCAGCCTATTTGTTTTTCTGGTCTAAGTGAAGCTCAGAAAATTTTGTTAAGGTGGTAGTTTTTGTCTTACCCGCTGAAAGAACTCCTCTGCTGATTCTTCATCATCATCCAGGTGACCTGTAAAAACAAAATATCTGGTATCAACACTGTGAATATTTACAGTCTACAGTCCTGATTTATTGTGTCAAATAATCACACCTTTAACACCAATAATTAGTGTGACATGTTATTACATAATGTGTCCAGATTAAGTGTGACATGTAATTACATAATGTGTCCAGATTAAGTGTGACATGTAATTACATAATGATATCCAGATTATGTGTGACATGTAATTACATAATGTGTCCAGATTAAGTATGACATGTAATTACATGTGTCCAGATTACGTGTGACATGTAATTACATGTGTCCAGATTAAGTGTGACATATAATTACATAATGTGTCCAGATTAAGTGTGACATGTAATTACATAATGATATCCAGATTTAGTGTGACATGTAATTACATAATGTGTCCAGATTCATTGTGACATGTAATTACATTGTGATATCCAGATTTAGTGTGACATGTAATTACATAATGTGTCCAGATTTAGTGTGACATGTAATTACATAATGATATCCAGATTTAGTGTGACATGTAATTACATAATATGTCTAGATTTAGTGTGACATGTAATTATATAATGTGTCCAGATTAAGTGTGACATGTAATTACATGTGTCCAGATTACGTGTGACATATAATTACATAATGTGTCCAGATTAAGTGTGACATGTAATTACATAATGATATCCAGATTTAGTGTGACATGTAATTACATAATGTGTCCAGATTCATTGTGACATGTAATTACATTGTGATATCCAGATTTAGTGTGACATGTAATTACATAATGTGTCCAGATTTAGTGTGACATGTAATTACATAATGATATCCAGATTTAGTGTGACATGTAATTACATAATATGTCCAGATTTAGTGTGACATGTAATTACATAATGTGTCCAGATTAAGTGTGACATGTAATTACATAATGATATCTAGATTTAGTGTGACATGTAATTACATAATGATATCTAGATTTAGTGTGACATGTAATTACATTGTGATATCCAGATTTAGTGTGACATGTAATTACATTGTGATATCCAGATTTAGTGTGGTGACATGTAATTACATAATGATATCCAGATTAAGTGTGACATGTAATTACATTGTGACATCCAGATTTAGTGTGACATGTAATTACATAATGATATCCAGATTTAGTGTGACATGTAATTACATATGTCTAGATTTAGTGTGACATGTAATTACATAATGATATCCAGATTTAGTGTGACATGTAATTACATAATATGTCCAGATTTAGTGTGACATGTAATTACATAATGTGTCTAGATTTAGTGTGACATGTAATTACATAATGATATCCAGATTTAGTGTGACATGTAATTACATATGTCTAGATTTAGTGTGACATGTAATTACATTGTGATATCCAGATTTAGTGTGACATGTAATTACATGTGTCCAGATTTAGTGTGACATGTAATTACATTGTGATATCCAGATTTAGTGTGACATGTAATTACATAATGATATCCAGATTTAGTGTGACATGTAATTACATAATGATATCCAGATTTAGTGTGACATGTAATTACATAATATGTCCAGATTTAGTGTAAAATGTAATTACATTGTGATATCCAGATTTAGTGACATGTAATGACATTGTGATATCCAGATTTAGTGTGACATGTAATTACATAATGATATCCAGATATAGTGTGACATGTAATTACATATGTCTAGATTTAGTGTGACATGTAATTACATAATATGTCTAGATTTAGTGTGACATGTAATTACATTGTGTGACCAGATTTAGTGTGACATGTAATTACATTGTGATATCCAGATTTAGTGTGACATGTAATTACATAATGATATCCAGATATAGTGTGACATGTAATTACATAATATGTCCAGATTTAGTGTGACATGTAATTACATAATATGTCTAGATTTAGTGTGACATGTAATTACATTGTGATATCCAGATTTAGTGTGACATGTAATTACATAATGATATCCAGATTTAGTGTGACATGTAATTACATGTGTCCAGATTTAGTGTGACATGTAATTACATATGTCTAGATTTAGTGTGACATGTAATTACATTGTGATATCCAGATTTAGTGTGACATGTAATTACATAATGATATCCAGATTTAGTGTGACATGTAATTACATAATGATATCCAGATTTAGTGTGACATGTGATTACATAATGTGTCCAGATTTAGTGTGACATGTAATTACATTGTGATATCCAGATTTAGTGTGACATGTAATTACATAATGATATCCAGATTTAGTGTGACATGTAATTACATTGTGATATCCAGATTTAGTGTGACATGTAATTACATAATGATATCCAGATTTAGTGTGACATGTAATTACATAATGATATCCAGATTTAGTGTGACATGTAATTACATAATGATATCCAGATTTAGTGTGACATGTGATTACATAATGTGTCCAGATTTAGTGTGACATGTAATTACATTGTGATATCCAGATTACGTGTGACATATAATTACATAACGATATCCAGATTTAGTGTGACATGTAATTACATTGTGATATCCAGATTTAGTGTGACATGTAATTACATAATATGTCCAGATTTAGTGTGACATGTAATTACATAATGATATCCAGATTACGTGTGACATATAATTACATGATGATATCCAGATTTAGTGTGACATGTAATTACATAATGTGTCCAGATTTAGTGTGACATGTAATTACATGATGCTATCCAGATATAGTGTGACATATAACTACATAACGATATCCAGATTTAGTGTGACATATAGATTTTAAAGTGCCACAAAAGGAAAACAGTTTAAATTGAAGTGGTAATTGATAAATATTTTACAATAGTTGCTAAAGTGATATATTTATTATGTTCTGTGGTGGCTGAGAAAATTTCTCATGATATATATATATTGTATTGTAGTTGTCATGTGTGTTGTACATCAGGACTCATCCATTCAGTGTAGGCAGTCTGGTCAGCAATGATCCTCAACATTTCGAGTACATATTTTGTATTGTTAAGGACAGCACTACAGATCCTACTTTTTGACTCATCTCAAATGTCTCATTCATAGTTTCTTTAATAAACAAATGATAAATAAGGAACACAGAGTTAGGTATGTTTTCTACAGGTGAATGTTTACTTAATCCTTGAAAATATTAATCAAATTGGTCCTTTCCTTAAATTGAATGGTTCAACATATCAGATAATTTATCTCTTATTCAAAAATCACCTGAAAATGTGTAAGCACCTTCTCTACAACAGCACGTTGGAGTGTACGTGTCACTGTTCCTGTCAATACCTGCTACAAATGGTTATCGACCACCAACAAACAAACTTTGTAGAAAGTGACAGCAACTTTATATAAAGTGGAAGGTAATGTTACAGGCCAGGTCCAGACCCGTCCATTCAAAAACTAACACTGGCGTATGTCTAGTACAGAGTTGTCTGTCCTTGACAATCAATTATGTATAAATGTCAACAGACTGTTTTTCATTTGAATATTGATTACAATTTGTGGTATTTCATACTCGGGGATGACAGATACAAATTGTAGCTTACCAGAAATCTGAGTGCAGAATAATGAAAAGATTAGATTTTACTAACCAAATATACCACACAAGTGTCAAGTATATATTTTTATTGACAAATTACTGTATATATATCAAAATCAGTTAACACAACCTGAATCTTGTCAGTGTCTATAAAGTATTTATACCAAAACTTATTATAAACGATAACAGTCGACAGAATGTCAACAAACCAGACGTTATTTTGTTCCTACAATTCGTGACGAGTTCACCATACCTGGGTTAATGATACACAAGTATTGTTGGCCTGATATTGTTTGCTACAAACTATTATGATTGCAGTAGGTGATATACCTTTGTCAATACACAGCTCCACTAGAATAGTGGCAAAATGCTGTTTCTTCACAATTGTGTTTTGTCTGGAAAATGAATCAACTTTGATGTCCTCAATGGCTATTCAGCAGTCAATATTGATTCTTTTGACAGAATTACAGGCTCCAGTTTTTCAAATTCCAGGTTAGGAAAAGATCAAACCGACCCTGATGAATCTAACAAGATGACTAACGAATGACAACCTGTACAATCTATATGTGTAAGACTGACATTGTCCAGTCATATACATAAACACAAAAGTAGGAAGATCAGAGTTTTAACACTCTAAAACAACAGGCCAGAAACACACAGATCAGCGTTAGATAAATCAAACATTCTTTAATGTTTAACAAAAATGTATTGAATCTTTGTGTGAACCTCATTTACTATGTTGTGTATAAAAGACCACTGTCCTAGTATAAGAAGGAAACATTGGTAAAATTGTTATCATATCTCCTAGTACCACACAACATTTCCTGTGTTAACATACAACTTCTATCCTCTCCAACAGTATGTATAAACACTGTTGTTGTTAGCTAGTAATGAATTCTGAATGAAATGAAGTTACCATACATACGCAATAAAATCAGGAGCCTTGTTTAACTGATTTACATCGATGCTTTAAATACGGCGCCAGGTATTTTCTACACTTAACAAGATTGTATCAGTAGATTCCTGTGATGATTTAGTCTTTGTTTCAGATATTTCTGAAAGTTTCAAGCATATTTCATTATTTTGGATCCATCAAGCACAATTACACAAAAACGACAGGATGTGACAAAGATAGATATGGATAATACTATAAGATGTGTAACTCATCGTCTCCACGTCAATCATAGTCACGATGGCGGCAAAAAATCTAAACGAGGTAAAACATCAGATTGTGCTTTCTTTTCTGTTGTCATTTTAATACTGTTTCAAAGCCAGGCCTGCAGACTACATGTTAAGAATTTCAACAACAGCAGCTCCAAGATGATGTAGACTTGCCAAATTCAATGTAGATACTGACCCCGAGAAACTACTAAATACATGATTTACTTAAAAAGGAAGGTAATTCAGTAAGTTTCAATAGAAAATCAGTGAGGGTG